GCTTGAGCATTCCTGTCTGTGCCTAATGTCAAGTCATAGGATTATCCAGAATATTCTGACCGGCTACCTTTGATAACGCAGAAACAGAAATCTTGAGTTGTGGTATCAGGGTGCTCAGCCCACAGATATTGAACTTCACATACCCCATCTGCTTCCATTTGGGACTGCAATGGCCTTAAAAACCCTACACATATCTTCCCTACTTAAGTGCAGCTTTTTTTCTAATGGAATTACAATATCGGCATCTGGTCTCTGGCTTCTCATCAATTGCGTGGGCGTCCTTCAGAGGACATTTCATCGGAATAGAGGCAAATACGGTGGTGCCTTTATCTGCAGAAATATGTGGCCTGTAGCCAGTGGGTGGGGCACCACATGCTCGCTCTCACTGTTCGTTTGGATAGAAAAGTCTGCAGTGGGACAAGCGAATATTAATGACGTTTCTGAGTGTTTCGATTCCATCAAGAACAAAAACAAATCTTAGCTAACCACCACTCACTGGGTTTTAGTGGATTACTATATTTCACAGAAACAGTTTCTTTGGTACAATAATCCAGCTGTGCAGAAATCAGGGAGTCGGGAAGAAGCAGCTCATTAAATTCTGTGCTTGTTTAAGACTGAAGCACATGTTATATTATCATAATACCAGAGCTGAACTGGATGACTCATTCCTCATTAAATTACTTCAGATGTTATTTAAAAAATATATATATATTTTATGCAAGTGAAGCTGCTTGTGCTGCCACCTAAACCAATCATAACGTGGCCTCAAATGTTAAAGTAACCTTATAAGCAGAAACTGATATAAGAGACTATCAGTTATGGAGACAAAGACAAATGAAAAAAAAATGCATTTAAATTAAATAAGCAAACTGATATGAATGAACCTTACATTTAGATAATACAAATCATCAGCAAGAATAATAAAAAACAAATAAAACAAATCTCAGCTAACGTGGAAGCTACACTGCAAGGTGGTCTGTTTAATAAATAAAATCACATACAGGACCATTAACATCTCTGTAAACAGAACTCAGCTCCCACAAAGCTCCAAATGAAGAAAAACTGCATCTACATGCAGAGAACTGTTTGTGGAGACATCCAGCATATCGACGCACAGTGAGTGAATGATAAAGAACAAACCATAACGAAGGGCAGGGCTACTACACTGCATTGTGTCCATCAGGTAAAAAAAAAAAAGAAAAGAAAAAAGAAAAGAAATCTGTTGGCTAATATCAATAACAGCTTCCTTGAGGTTTTAAAATGCACTGCAGCTGCATTTTAAAACATATCTACAAGCACTCTAAACTTAGCAGTGCACATATGTTTCATGTTTACACTCAACAGAGAGACACATCGTTGATTAGATCATCCTCGTATTTCCTCAGATAAAAATGACGCTTCCTTGCAGCCTGTTGAAAGATATTATACTACTGTGGTTCCCTGATGAACTTTTGACCGGTTTCTATTCTCAGATTATCAAATCGCCATCAACATCATCCCCATCATCTCTGGAGCAGGTTAGCTAAACTCAAGTACCCAGTGTTCTGGTTTGGGGGGGGGCGGTGTCACAGGGACTTGTCCACTTGTAATGCCAAAGAAACACACTTCTTACTGGAGTATATCACCATAGTGACTTAAAACTGTAGAGCAAACCTGCTTCAGAGCAGGTTGTGTTTGAGATTACGGATCAACAAGTATGAAATCACCACTTAGCTACCAATCAGTTATCTGGAAAACTGCTTTACCTGAAAGATCCCTTTGGACTGCTGTGCCATGGATAGTGGGAGGATCTTTCCATTGATGAGCATCAGTAGTCTAATCAATTTAGATTCTTAAATTCAACTTCATTCTTTGACTTTTCCCATGTGTCTGCAGAACAACTTCACAACATTTTGAATTCCTCTATAATCTCGTTTTTTTTAATTTTGTCTGCAACGCTTGTCCCTAGCATCCATGTCCTCATCCATAAAAGCATTTAATCTTATCTGAGCAATTCCTCTTGATCTCCTGTATCACTGCTCATCATATCCACTGCCATTTTTGTATTTATGCTTGTATTTTCTCCCAGACTGGTAAACATCAACAGAGCTCAGCAAAAGAACTTTTAGTTCCTATTTGAACTTTATTAATACAAGTGTTTAACCTTTTCATGTTTATAGTTTTATCTTTCTTTGTAAAGTCAGCTGTTCTGCTGCTCTGTATGTGATTGGTCAGATGCCCCCAACGCCACCCCTTTCATGTAAACAGGCTAGTAGCTAAAATGGGAAACCCTGGGTTACCTTATAGAGTTGATAACTAGCGTCATGTGATCACTTAGCCTGATTGACAAT